AGAAAATCATCCTTAATCTCTACCACATTTACCAACGTTTGTCCTCTGTCAGATATGCTAAGATCATTCTTTTTTGCAAAACACTTGAAGCTCAACTGCTGCCCAAGCTTTCCTTTAACCCCAGCCTGCCGTTCTCATCGCATCCCCCATGCTAAGGTGAGTACCTGAGAAGTGATAAGGCCACAAACTGAGGAACTGCTCCTGCCTAATACCAGCATAGCAAAGAAGCGAGGTGTGGGGCACAGCCTTTGCCTGAAACAGGGCCCTGAGTCACAGCATCCAGGTCCTACCCAGGGCACAGGGTGGCTGTGGCAGTGCACAGGGCAGGTCACAGCAGTGGGAAGAGAAGTGCAAGAGCAGGGAACCAGGACAGTTTCTCATCAGCAACCATGACAGCTTTTACCTGATTAGAGCATTCCTGAAACTCCAGCTTGCATTTACTTCCAACATTTAAATTCTTTGAATATATTTTTTCCAAATTACACTTTCTGGTGTAGGATTAGAAAGGAAGATTTTTTTTTTCCTTGCCAGAGACACAAAGACTGTTGATGCAGTAAAGGCAGCACTTGCAGGATAACATGATGTGTGATAGTGATAAACGTTTTAGAAGCACATATTTTGCTGTCAGACTACTGGAATGTTTTCTCTTGTACATATGAAGATTAATTGCTTACAGCAAGTTACTCTTCTCCTACATTCATCAGTAACGTGAACTACTGGTAATTAAGTACGGTGCATATCAGTACCAGGTACTTATCTGTCCTATGTCTTCTTGTATATATTCATTTCCCCCAAACAGAGCATTCCATAAGCAGAGCAAACACAAAGCAGGTGATCACAGCTTGTCCAAGCTTAAATCACAACCCTAAGCAGACAACATACAATCTTCAAATGTTCTTTGCACAAAAAAAAATATTTCTCCATTCAAAATCTTTTCTGAAGCTGGATACCATTAAAATGACAACTGCCTATACTTTTAAGAAAGTATTTGCAGCATGCTGTTCTCCCACAACACTTCATTCCCAAAAATCATCGTGGCTCCTTTCAGATTAAAGATCTGTTCATCTACCCAGACTAAAATTTAGAATCTGTTGACAAATCTAGCACCTCTTTAAAGTCAGACAGAAATAACTTTTGGATGAAACATCAGCATTAAGTATCTTAAAACATAAATATTTTTTTAGGCCTGTTACAAAAAACATTGGATAAAAAGGCATGAACTAAAACAGCTCAATCCAGCCGATGTATCAAGCCCTCTCTGTGGAATGGGCATGACTCCACTAATTACAACCTTAAAGAAATTATCATTATGGGAACAGACAGGTTCCCCAGGCAGTACCAAGACATTTCATCTGACTGCGTGCTCCTCCCGTCAGCCCGTGTCTTAGTGGCCCCCTTACATTGACCTACCCCACGGGGAGCAGCAGCACAGGAGTCACCGAGACATTGAATAATCGCTGCTGTCAACGTGGGAGGCCACAGAACGTGCAGGCTCCCCGGATGGTGTTAACAAACCTGCTAAGGAGACGAATGCCTTCAGCTGCACTTTCACACTCTGGAATTGGTTTCACTATAAAACTAAATCTCACTTGTAAAAAGCCTAATCTGCAAGTGGAGTACTGATGCTTAACCTTAGAGCGCCAAGTTCTCACCTTTCTCTTGAGAAATAATGGCAGTTTCTGTCCTGCATGTATGGCTTTACCCCCATCATTTCTGAAACATCCAAAATACTCCGGTCAGCGCTTTTAAACCAACCAGCTCAGTTGCCAAAAAATTACATTCTACCTGCTAAATTAGGCAGAGAAAACATACCTTACAAAAAACTCAATGATTTTTCACACATGCAGCAAAGAATTTACTTTGCAGGAAAAAGTCACACTGAATATTAATTCACTTTTCTAGAGGTTTTCTAGGGGTCTGAAATGTATTAGAGTAATTAAAGTGGGAAAGGTTTTGATCTGTGGGCAAACCATGACCTTTGTCTAAAATGCTGTACAACACAAAACAGCCTCAAGCAAAACATTTTCTACAACTCCCACTGAACTACTACTTACTCATATTATTTTTATATTTTAGAGGACTTGTAAAGTTTATATAAAAACAAACATTAAATCTCCTTTATTCTCCTTTGTCCTCATATGCTATTACTGAGAAACTGTCTGTATTTCACTCACTTATTCCAAAGCCCAGTCCATACTCTGAGGTTACTGTGAGGAACAAATGGGAATGATGACTCCTCAGTCTTTCTCTGCTACCAAAAACTGTCATGAGCTTCTCTCAGAAACACATGAATCAAAAGCAACCATGCCAGGCTTCCCCATACAGACTTCTCTGAATTTCTTTCATTGCTAATAATTTCTTTGACATAATATTTTTCACATGGATTTGCATGGGATGATGGAAAACTACCAGTAACAGCAGAGAAGCCCATTGGGAGTTCTAATCATCAACAGTGAGGCTTCAGCTTCTACAGCAGGTCTTCAGCCTGTGAGCAGATCACCTTGCCTATTTAGCCCTACTACTCTTGTAGCTGTGATTGCTCCTACCCCTCCTGGTAAGAAAAATATGTTAGAAACAGCTGCTAGTCCTTCTGCTGCTTCCCCTCAGTGGGAAGAAGGCAGAGAGGGTTGCCAACAATGTAATGGCTGAGCTGAAGCCAGCTATTTTTACATGACAGTGCAGCCATGTAGCGCAGTCTTGCAGGCTGCTAGAGCCTGCACGCACAGCAATCTAGATGAGCACCAGTCCTGGTAGGGTAAGGACCCGCAGTACTGCCTTTTGCATCACAAACCACCTCAGAGGTAAACAATACTCTAAACACTTTCATTTCATTCAGCTGCAACAGAAAAGAAGACCTAATCCAATCATTAATGAAGCCCAGAGGTATTTCACTATTGACAGCAACCTATATAAGTCCAAACATTTTCAAGCACAAGTATCTGGAACTACAGATGCAGCTCTACACTCCCTTTAAGCCAGTATCATCATTTTTTGAGCTGTCATCAGAAAAAAAGTCTTGCCCTTCCTTTTTGCTTCATTTTCACTCACATGAGGTGGACGAGGTAGCAGATTTGGATGACAATTCAGATTTTTTTTCTACTGGCTGAGTTTGTTTTAATCTGGAGCTGTATTCTAGTGTCATCTTCTGTGTAGGTGCCTAAAACCACACATCAGCAAAAAGGTGGCTGTGAAGGAGAGAGGGTAGGGGCTCCTTCAGCAACAGTTTGCTGTCTGTTGGTTTAAAGACTTTTACAGTACCTAGTCAAAACAGCCCAGCTTGAGAAACGATGCTCAACCCAAACCGCAACAGAAAATACAATCTATGAGGAAATACATGATTCTAGAAGAAACTCCTCTGAAGTTTTTGAGAGCACTTTGAGAGACAGAAGAGACCATTGCCCCTCAACTGCAAGGACTATAAGTAAAACTGAACCAATTTGAAATGCTGTTTTTTCTTGCACAAAAAAGAATTCTCCTGATTTCCTAGAGAATGTAGCATGATTTTCAACTGCTATGATTCCTTTATTACACTACAGTCATGTAATAACATTAACAGTCATCCCAATGATGGTCCAGTAATTTTTCAATATAAAAGAAACTTTTCCAGAACATCTCCTAGACAATTTTCCTCTCTACACAAAAACGTCTGTTATATCACACTATGTTTATTACTTATTGTGCCTCAAATAAAGTAGAAATTCACTTTCTTGTGCCTGTTACGCTCACAACCAACTAGCATCCAATCACAGGAATCAACTGAAGTGGATTGATTTTGAAATAAAACTTAAATGGAGGATTTGTTACTGTGTCATTTTCCAAAGGGTTTTCCTGCAGCAGTATGCCTTCCTCAAAAAATGTCATTGTAACTGGAATTAATTTGTTATAGAGGATGAATAGGTTTACATGCCAGGTCAGTTACTTGAGCAATTTTTGCTACTGAACAATCCAAACCAGTATAAAAGCAGCCAATGCAGATATGTGAACCCAACAGATAATAACAATGCTAGAAATGTCCTAGATTGATGAGGATACACACAAAAAGGCTAATCTGTTTTCATGCTCAATATCACTATATGACGGCAAATTCACTCCATGCTTCCCAATAACAAACTGGCTCTAGTTCCCAACTCTCTAGCCAGCACAATGAACACTAAAATCATCAGTCACACTGCAGAAGTATGCTTACAAACGTCAATAAATCAATGCAGCACAAACACTGGGCTAAAAAAAAGTTTTGTTTGACAGTTCTTACTGCTTTACCACCTGGGAAATGAAAATATCCACATCACCGCTTACAAGACTGTTTCTCATATGTAAAAGAATTTTTAGTTTTACATCTCCAGAGGGCTGCTAACTGCACAAAATTCTCAATTTATCATTATGTAAATGAGTCCTTGCCCACACAATGCTATGAGATATGGGTGCATGAGAGAAGGAGATCAAGGAAAGCCCACTTCAAACCAGAAGAACAAGACGAAAGGGAGGCAAACGCGCAACACCCCAATTTCAGGCCCATAAGAAGAAAGAGAAGAAAACACACAATATCCCAATTTGAGACCCATCCACCACAGACTTGACAGAAAAGAGGAGCTTTGCACTGTGAATGGAAAGATAACAAACTTGAGCTGTGGTGAAGGGTCAGTGGGAACCAGTTTCATAATTTTACTGTGAAATATGCTTGAGTCTACATGGACAGAGAAATATAATTTGTGAACAATTTTAGATGCAGTTCCTAAGTTAGCCAGTATATATATATATACACATATATTTACACAGTGAAATATTTGCATTTGGTACTTATTAGAAAGCTTTCATCATAAGCTCCAGTCAAATATTAGTTTGGAGCCAAGATCACATTAACAGGATATAAACTTTTCAGTGGGATAGTAATACTTCATAATGTATAGCAAAAGAGATCTTTAGACAAAACACTTTTTTTTCTCTTAGATTTAGATAGCAAGACTGGTATTAATTGCCAAAATTTTAGACTGAATACTTACCTTTTCAACTGGAGTATTTTCTTCACTCGTTACACTTGCTTTTCTTGATTCGTTTTTTGTTCTGCTCAGCCTCCGGGACACTTTTTCTCTAAGCAATGTGGCATAGCCAATGTGTTCATAGATGGGGTTTGTTGTCATTTTGGAGATATACTCTGAAGCCTTTGTTTCTATATACAGTGTTATCAAGCCATCTGTAACTAGATCATGGATTGATTCGAATCTTTTCTCCCCAACGAAGTGCTTCCCATCATAGAACAACCTGTAGTTTAAGGTCTGATTACCAAATCTGCAAATACCAGAATAACAGGAGGGAGAGAGGAAAGACAGAGAGATAAGAGTGAAAGTGAGAATTCATAGTGGCAAAACATTCATAAGGTAATTTCACTGATGAGTCTATATTATCTGGATTACATATAGAATATGCCCATGGTGGCACATGGATCTCTATGGATACACCAACTCAAGTGTAAACCTAAACCTGGCTGCATCGCATTGACCGGGCTGCAGAACCAGGGTTAATTCTCTGTAACAAGCCACGCCACCCAGACGTGTCTGGTTTAAATCTAAGTGCTAAGGGGACTACCACAGCAATCAGAAAGGCAACTTTACATTGACAAGACCTTACACTGGGATACGTAATTGTATTAATGGCTTTTCCAACCCAAAACATTACTGAGGTGGAGAAATGATGCTTAATCAAACCATTAGCATATTTACAATCAGTGAAGAGGGGCATCTCTAGCAAGTAATTCAAATCCTAAGGGTCTCAATCACCCTGTCAGGAAGCCAGGGAGACCAAGATCCTAATTCAGGGGCCCAGTTAAACATCCAAAATTTTGTGCGATAACTCTGGCCCTACACAGTTGCTTATGGCAGGTGTGTGATCTATGGGTTTTTTTTAAAGAGTTTTAAAAAACATAGTGCTGAAGTAGCACATTCAGTGTACAATACTGACAATAGAATCCCATTCTTGATTACAGGATTTGAAGATATGACATGGGGTTAAATGGTACTTTGTGGATGTCTGCATATTTTGTTGGGTATTCAAACCACACTGGTTAAGCATCTTATTTTTTCACCCACATTTTCATATGAATTCCCAATTTACTATCAAATTCAGTTTATGATTTTACAAATAATTATTCAGACAGATTTAGAAATCATGTTGTTGTGTCAAAACAACAGGCATTTAGCCATAATCCACATTCTTCAGCAGTTCTTTTTATTTTTTATTTTGAAATCTCTTTCCAAAACCCTAAAAAATTACATTTGTTCTTTTTCAGATGACAAAAGTTGCTTTTAATTTACACCACTTTCTACTTGGCATGATTCATCAGCTTTTCCAGCTCTACCATCTGTACATCAATACTAATTCTGAGGACGATTTCAGCACCATATCACAGCTACTTGGGATAACTCCTTAAGGGATTTTTCCCACTGGCTTACCAGCAGAAGGGTAAAAAAGCAGACTTCTATTTTGTGTATATCCCACAGAAGTAATAATGCTATGAACACTGTAAAATATTGCCAAGCAGTCTGTTTCTTCAAAACCCAATAGACTATTTGGTCCTCTTGCTGCTAACCCATAGAAGCTTTAAGACTGTTGCGTAGGCAGGTTCTGAATGGCACAGCTAAGCTGGGAGAGGCACTGGTGAAGGGTGCTGAGGCTGTAGGTTGAATTTTTCATTGAGCTGAATAGCAGAGTCTTACTTCTTTGAGCAGCAGCATCCCATGCCTCACACTGCATTTATAGAGCAAGCTTGAATTCTAGTTAGGGAAAAAAAGTGACCTCTGGTATTGTAGTAAAAATTTTGAAAACAGGCAAAGTCAGCATCTGAAAAGGGACTTCCTAGCTCAGTGCTAAAAGAGTGACAATATTGCAGTACTGTGACTGTCAAACTGTTGACAAGAGGGTGTAAAATCATTCTGACACCATGAAGTGGATCAAGTAACAGTGAGCAGAGACTTGACTTAAAAGGGACTGATACATTCTCCTCCATTAGACACATTTACATTTGATCTATAAGCCTTTATTAAACAGCATTTACCTGAGAGCAAGAGTATAGCAGCCGGGTTGCCTCTGGCTTTCTCTAAGAATATATGCTCCTTCTACACCTGCAAGTATTTCATCTGCTTGCTCCCGAGAAATGATCCCGTGAAACCTAAGAGAAGACATTTCAGTGATTTACAGAATAATCCAACCAGAGGCTTCTCCTTCACCCCAGAAACCATTTGAACACTTATGCACTGCAGAGCATCATGGTCTAAGCCAATAGGACAGAGTTCAAGTATCTAGAAGTGGCAGGACAGTCATCCAGCCTGGGCAAGTCCAGCACAGAGGCAAAACAAAAACTACACTGTAGATGTAGATTCAGTCAGTATAACTCTCAACCACACACTACAATTATTTCCTGTATATGCCCCACCTTATCACAACTTTTCTGCTCTACTAGTCTATGCCACTCATCTTTGTTTCCTCTCTGGATGCCTTACAACAGAATTGAAAACTAGCACAAAGGCATTATTTTTTTTTAAATGGAGATGACTTAAAATTAAAATGAGAGGCCATTCTTATTCTCAGTTTGCTTTACTTTTGTATTAACATTGCTTCCTCAAATTTGTAAGGGAAACTGAGACAAGAAATGGCAAGAGTTATTCAAACTTTTATTCTCCATAAATTAAAGTAGAAGAAGATACAGTAGCCATGAGAAAAATCTTGTTTTCTTCATTTCCATGAATTCCTCATTGAGTGTTGGAAAATTTCTCTGATTCTTTTGCCATTGCTATTTTAAGAAAGAAAGAGGCCCTAGGATGCACACTCAACCTTCTGATAAACAGTATTTAGCAGTGATGTTTCTGTAAGTACAAACACAGAAGTTTTGCAAGCTGGTAAGTCTCCGTGGGTCTCTTCAGAGGTTTTGACAGTTTTTATTTTTGCTGCTGAAAAAAAGGGACTATTTCTAGATGATCTCCAGAGGTCCTTTCCAAACCCTACCAATCTGTGATTCTGTGACTAAAATGTACTGGCCTTTAGCATTTTCTCTTTTCTGACAATACATATGAAGTGGCACATTTCTAACACTGCCTCTGGCTCAGCAGTGGCAGAGAAGAAAAACACATCGGATGTAAATACAAGTGTTGTTCCATTCTCTTTATGTTGTCTTTTCACAGCTAATACATGTTGAAGATACTAGGTTTAGGTGATCTTTACAGAGTGACCTCCAATTCAAAATTATGTCAATGGATTCATGCTTTCTGTCTGTACAGGTGGGGGAAAACACTAATTTATTGCCATACCCAAATTGAAACAAGCATCCCCTAGAAAAAAATAATTTAAGCATGGATATTTCTGGTACATTTTTATGAGTGCATAAAACCAGCTTGTATGTTGTACAAAACCGCCTGAATTCAGGCGCCTGCCTGTGACAGCAGCCAACATGAAATGTGCATGGAAAGAGTACAGGCAGCAGTGATGTATTTCTTTCATTTCACATCCCTGTCCATCCAACACTGGTTGAGCTGGAAGTTGTGTCTTATCAGCTGTGACCTCACCCTTCATGAATATGAGAATCTCACTTCTAAATCCTTTAAGATCTTTATGCTTGTGGCCTCCACAGCACCACATGGCAATGAACTTGGGAGGGACACTGTGCATGTCCTTGTCTTGGACACCCACTAAGGAAGACCTGTTCATTTTCCTCCTATTACAGGAGCCACATCCTGTTGCACTTCACTGTAGCTTTCATTTCTTCTATAACCTGTCTAAAAAGGAGGGAGGAGGAAGGGGTAGAGAGGGACCAGAACTACATGCATTATTTAAAATGTAGCCACATCACAGATTTATACAGTAATGTAATTGTTTTTTTTTTTCTATTTTTTTCCCTAGGAATTCTTGATTCTCTTTCCAAGCACTACTGAGCACTGAGTCAATTGTTTCTATAGGACTGTCTCAGTGGTTCTGAAATCTTTTTGAATGATAATAACTAATGTGATCTTGCCTGGGCAGGTTCACCAAGATAAATTCTTACAGTTCCTGCCAGCCCTGCTGTTCCACAAACCCAGAGTATGTCAACATCCAGACAGGTTCCTGGATAAGAGATTGTGGTAATGGTTTTGCAAGTCCTGCTGTGAGAAATATGACGAGTTACTCAGGTAAGTACTGTCTTCAGCAGTTTTGTACTCTAGTGGCTAGATTTGAATTCCCTGTTGTCAAAGATAATATTTAAAAAATGAAACTTCACTAATTAGGGGCAAAGCTACTGGCTCTTGAGGTTTTTGATGGTAGAAAAGGATCATTAAATACAGATGATGTATCTGGGATGGAAGAAAAAAACTGAACATAGGATCAAAGTAATTTAGCTAGCAATATGGGCTAGGGCCTCAGCAGACTACCCTGGTAAAGGCCAAATGCCCGATCTGGGTGGTTGCTGCAGTGGCTATGCCCATCAGCTTCACCTGCCCAAATCTCCATGCCAATGCAGCATCCAGTCCCTTTCAAGCTAATTTATTGACAAGAAGACTGCTGAGCATAAAGGAATTAAATTCTAGTGCTCCATTATTTTCCTCACAACAAAAATATACCTCTTTTGGTATTTTGGACCTCGTAACTTTAGCAGGAAGAACAGAATGCAGACTTCCATGACTATGTAGGCTGGTGAAAATACAGGAATATACACAAAACGGCAGTGAGAGAGCCAAGCTGCTTCTCTCCTCTCCAGGCCACTTCAGGACTACAGGGAAGACAACCAAAATAAAAAGAAAAAATACTCCAGACAACGTTTTTTCCCCAAACTCTCCTGAAAAAAGGCAAAATAAACATTCAGGCTCATATAGCAGCACAGTCCATGGATTGTGAGCAGCACTACTGGTTTACAACATTGCTAAATTATTAGGATTTCAATATATTTAGCTTCCATTTGAAGTGAAGAGCAAAATAAAATATTTTATCAGACCTTCATTGTGTCTTTTTTTTTTTAACTTCGAGAAAACAACTTTTAGATATACCCAACAGATATGTAAAGAGGAAAATACTTACTCTCTTCCGTAATACTTTGGTCTGTTCTCAACCTAAATTTTGAAAGAAAGAAAAAAAATAATATTAAAAACATAATTTAAAATAAATAAATACATTAAAAAATTATCCTTGACTACTAATGAGGACTACCGCACCCATTTAAGTGACAAAATTTTGCAGATTCAAAACTGTGACTGGAACATGACTATACAGAAGAACAAAAAAATGAAGACAAAAGAGGTGGTTTTACTGATGGATTTTGGGGAAGAACAACATATATCAATGGTGAAAAAACAGAACAACACATAACTGTATAAAATCTGATCAAACAAATAAAGAATAGTTTACTGCAGTGTTGCCAATCTAGTATTTATAATATGATGTGAGAGTATTTTTGTTACACACCTTTTAGCTTCTTAAAAACATTTTTTTGCTGATATACAGCAATTGACTGAAGATAAAAATTAACATTCCTGGGAAAAACAAGGTTTCTGAATTTAGACCTGGTCTTAAATTCCTTGAAATTCAAGAACTTGCAGGCTTGATCCAAAGTACACTGAAAGCTCCTGGCAGGACTCCCAATTACTTCAGAGAGCTCTGAACCAAGTTTTAGGAATGTCATGGTTGGTGACAGCAGAGGACCCCGTTGCCCTGGCCACCACTCACAAGGGGCTGGGGCTTGATTTAAAAGTCTTTATAAAGAGATGCTCTCTTCCCAGCTATGGCATTTATCAATAATGTCATATTACTAGGCTGCAAATTCAGCCAGCATTTGCATGTGGAAACTGCATGACAGAACTTGATGTAAGATACACATAAAGTCTGACTATTAAAAAAAAAGTATCTGAGTGAGTGCACACCTGAGTAAAGCTGTCCATATCAATGGAATTACTGCTTCACACATACCAACACACAGGTAGAAAAACTGTAGTCTCAAGGCTGTTTCATCCTTTAGTATAAAATCAATTATTTTTCACCATTTTATCTGATTAGAAACAAGCACTAGTTCTGTTTTGCTTATATCACTCATAAAAACTTTAAACTGATGAAGGTTTTTTTATTTCTGAATAGAAAATACATAAATGTCACATTTTGGATTCAGTACTCTACACACCATGCACTAAAGTGAAGCAGCTGCCTTTCTGCCCTGCAGTCACTAAGGCTACAATACAGCACAAGATGAACTCGAGTCTCTACAAGATAATGAGCATCTTCACTGGAAGCCCTATGGGAGTTCAAACAAGTCCTTGCTGTGCCTCTTTCCCAGCTTGGCATTTCTTCTCTAGCACAGCACTAACAATAGCAGTATTGCACCCTTCAAACTCCTGCCTAGAAACAATACCTTGATACAAATGTTTTTCAGCTCTGAGGGTCAGGAATAAGAGGAAAAAGCAAACGCAGAAGTGAGGAGAGAGCAAAATCAGAACTGCCAAGTGTGGGTGCTGTGTTTCTATGTGCATATAGGGCAGCTCAGAGAGGAAAGTGTATGAATTAAATTTCTGTTAACTTTATATTTTTGTAAGTTAAAAAAAATGTCAAGAAGCAGCTATATTATCTCAGAAAGGTCACTGTTCGTATGTTCATCTTTAGTAGTGCTACATGACTTTATTATCTTGAAACTGTGCTGCCTTCCTGTCATCCTTATAGTTTTCAATGACCCCTCAAAGCATATATTTAGCTGAGAACTTAATTAAAAAATGAGTATCAGAAGCTGGGTTAGGTAAGACCACCAGATGCAATCTCTTTCGTGGAAACAAAGGCCATTCAGTACACTGCAAATGATAATATATAACCCTTTGTTTCCACAGAAAGCCAAATAAAAACTTTACAACACAGAAGGTAAAGTGACCTTCATCAAGAGTTCAGAATCTGCTTCTATTTAAAAACATAGACTTGCCCTGATCATATATATACATAGAATAAACCTCAACACTTTCAATCTACCTCAGAAAGATAAAAGAATTAACAGTACTAGCAGTCACTCTCAAAACTACCTGTAAGCACAAGTTCCCCCACAAATATATATTTATTTTTTTTAAAAAAAAAGTAATTATAACTATGTAAAGTATAAAAACAATCTGGAAATAACTCCTTGAGCAAGTGAAGGCACATTTGTGTCTTTCTCACAACATCATTTATATAACAATACAAACCTATCTGTGAAATTCATATTATTTAACTGGAAACTGACTGAACTGCCCCAGTCACTGTGAATTTCATTTTTCCTCCTGTTCATGACCTAAAAGATTTGTTCTTCTGAGAATCCTCACAAAGCTCATCAAAACCTATATTCTTCCTCCTCTTCCATAAAACCGAAACCTCCCAACTTCTTTTAGCATTCATGTGTCTAAAACAGCCACAACTTCAGCACTTGGCTTTAGGCAAGAAAGATACCGGAATATTTCCTGAGATGATGCTCCAGATCTGCCAGCTCACCCAGGTGCCCCAGAATCTAAAAATCCTCTCTTGCTCTCACTGCAACCTTTTAGCCTGAAATAATCATTTTGCTCCTAACCAACTTCACAAACACAAGGAAACAATGTTACAGCAAGATAAAAGATCAAAATAACATCAGGGTCTCTAAATCAAAACCAGAATGTTAGACTGAACTTGGAAATAAACCAAAAGCCTGCACAACTGATGAAGCAGTGGCTTAAAAGTATCAAAGGAGCCAGTAGGTCTGTTCTGTGCCAACCACAGACTCTGTACAAACTTCAAGGGAAATTCTATATATCCCAGAAAGCAAAAGTGACTGAAATTCAGTTTGGATTAGCTTTCCCCCTCCTGCTGTAAATGGGCTTACACACACAAAGTCGGGCAGATCCCCCTAAGAGAATTCTTAGCGGTGGAAAGAATAGAAAATCCACAGGTAGAAAATGACTGTTCCCTGGTGGTAGGAGCCCAGAATAATCAGCCTTATTCTGAGGACACATACACTTAGGGTTTTTTCCTAGATAACAGCTATGAAGAACACTTTCATTACTTTCTGTATAGCCCTCACAATTTCCTTGTTGAACCACCTTTCTCAGGTGACCAGTTTTATCCATCACTCTGTCCCATCTCCCTAGACATTAAGCAAGGGTTTGAATCATTTAGAACTCTTACGCTAACAGACAAAAACAAAGTAAAAAACTGAGGAAAATTACATAAGGCAAATGATAGCTCTTCACTAGTGAAAATATATTTTGCCTTAAAGAGCGCCACAGTTTTAATACTACCATACAGAGGATAAATTAAGTGGGTTCTCTCTCACCATTAGAAGTCAGTGGCAGCTTTCAATTCAAATGTGAGATGGTAAACTTCTGGTTTAGAAAAAGGCATTATTGCCAATCTCAAACCAAAATGCTGTTGCAGAGCAGGTGTTTCTAACCATTGTTCCAGAAACCATGGGGAAAATGTTGAAAATTACTACTGAAATTTGTAGTTGTACAAATTATGAAGCAGCAGCAACTGACAAAATTGTTTAAAACTGAAGTCAAGTTGATCAGGAAATAAGATGTGTGGTGAAACACCCCAAATCACTACTAATCTTGTATTCCTACAAAGCCAGCAGCATTCAATGACATCTAATCTTGAAGCATTCTCAAAGAGAAGTGAAACCCAGCACAGCTCCCCTGACACTCTCCAAAGGCCTTTGGAAGCTCACGTTTAAGAGACTGCATACTGCAGCCTTGACTCCCAGCCTGCCAAAGCTGACATCATCTTTCCACACCAAAAATCTCCCCAACTTGTACACTTAGTCTATCTAGTCTTACAAGTATTTTTACAATGTTACAGCATATTCCTCAAGATGTGGAGTTAGTTGCACTGGGGTTTGAAGTCAACACTAAGAAGGAAATCAGTCTTCTTAAAAAAAATGCACTAGCTGTCAAAGCTAATTCAATATATCACAGGCACGTAATTTTTGAAGTTTACTGATTTGTAATGCTCTGGGATTTGTGGCTTCTCTTTTGGCCAGGATGGTTTAGCCCTGGCATGACATACTCCTGCTAATGTGCAGATTATTGTATTAAAATCCTACACCACTCTGTAAGATAACTCATCACAAAACTACTGGGAATCATGCAGGCAGGAGGTGAGAATCCCCTAATGTGATAGATTTTCATTGCAAGCACCAACATCCAAGCCACACTGCACCGAATATTTGAAGATACCCTGAAGAATTCTTCCTGCGTAAGTACTACCACAGAAATAAGATAACTCTAATTTCAGAAAAATTTAATTTCTCTTCAGCTTCATTGCACAAGACATATTTCCTTATCCAGTGGCCAAAGCTGAAATCTAGAAATGTTGGAATAGAAATTTAGAAATCCCTCTAGGACAGCAATCTGTCTGTAATTCAGAAGGGCCAGTACAGCATAACTTTGTATATCTACATATTTCAACCACTGCCTTAATACATCCATGAAGAGAATATAAAAGGGGAAGGGAAACAAGACGGTGCATAGCTGCACGTGGCTCTCTGTTCTTCTCTCCAGTACACAGAAAGATCAGAGAAACAAGATCCAGAGGTTAATAATGTCAGTGTGTTCATGCAGAGCAGCCAGTGAGGCATTTTTCCCAAAGGAAGTTTAATCTGATGTATTTTCTGTTTGGAACAATCCTATTTATTTTTCACTAATTCTAGTTGACTAGATGTAAGTATGTTTTTCAGCTCAGTCTGACAGAAAGAGAAGAGCTGGAAGAGAAGCTTTCAAGACAAGCCCAGTAAATACAGATTGTTCAGAAATGAGTTTATTGTCCAAATTTTCAGCTTTCAGCAGAATTTTCATAAGCCAAATGCAAACTTTGGCCAACCAAAAAAGGTTTAAGGAAGACTGTAAGTCCTCATTAAATGGAATGAAGTAAAAAAATATGTTGCATTTCATTACTTCTGTAATATAAATCTTTTTGCCTCCAGATTTTCATTTAAGAAATTTCTGCTTAGATCAGCTAGTATGTCTAACCAACCCCCAAACAGGACAAATTATTTCACATCAGTGACTCTTCAGCAATTTAAATTGGGAGAACATTCTTTTTGAAGGGAAATATTTCTCTACCATTTTTACTATCT